GCCGTGTCTCCATGGAGACCAGACAGTCAGTGCGGCTCCGGGGTGAGGGCCGTGATTAGTGAGTGTCAGCTTTGCCAGCCCTGCTCTTCCCACCGCCCCGCCGCTGGGCTCTGAGACAACAGGCTTGCCTGGGGTGTGGAGAAGGATAGGGAGGGGCTCCGGGCCCCCACAGGCTGGGGGGCTTCCAAGCCTGGCCCCAGGTACTGCCTTTGTCTCCCCCAGTGGCTCCTCCATTCCCCCGTGCCTCCCTCCCCAATCTGTCTTCAACATAACCCCCAGGCTGAGCTTTCTAAAACACAACCTGAATCCTGACACTGCCTCCCTTAAGAACTTTCCATGGCTCCTCATTCCCTTGAGTCTAAGAGTCAAATTCTCTATCATGGCATTCAAGGCCTTCATTCCTTCCTTCCTTCACTTATTTGTACCAAAAAAATCTTGTTTTGAGCACCTACTGTGTTTCAGGGATCCTGCCAGGGATACGTGGTCAATAAAACAAGCAAAAGCCCTGCCTTAGTGGAACTTCCCGTCTATTGAGAAAGACACACGATAAACAAAACAGAAATCAATAGACATATGATGATAGTCATGATGAGGCCTGGGAAGCAAATGGAGAGGGTATGACGGTGGAGAGTAATTTGTAGGGGGCCAGCCTACCTAGGGTGGTCAGCGTGGCCTCTCTGAGGAGGCAACATTTTGACAGAGTCACAGACATTGACAGTCACCAGTGGGGAGACAGGGAGGAAGGGCATTCCAGAGAACAGCCCGCACCAGGGCCCCACCTCCGCCCCCATCCATGTTTCCTATCTTGGTTAAAGGCACCAGGGCTCTCGGAGGGAGAAACCTCTGAGTTATCACCAACTCTCTTTTCCCCCTGTGCTCTCCTCTCATCAATCATGTGTCCTGTCAATTCTCTCACTGGCTTCTCTCTCCTCACCGCACTGCAGACCCCATCATTTTCACTTAGACTATCACACCTGCCCCCTAACAGGCTTGTCCCTTCACCCACTGGTTCAGTCATTCCTCCGATTGTGGGTGGAGCGCCCCCTAGGCGCTGGGCACTCTGCTGGGCCCTGTCAGTGGAGCCATGAGCAGGACCACACAGACCATGTCCTCGTCCAGAGTCCAGTCCAGGGAAGTCCACAAATACGGAGTGGGAATAGGAGGACCTGATCTAGACCTGGAGTGCCAAGAAGAGCTTTCAGGAGAAAGCACGGCCAACCTGAGACCTGAGGGAGGACAAGGAATTAGGCGGCGAAGGGAAGGGGAAGGTGTCCCAGGCAGAGGAAAGAGCACGTGGGCAGGTGGGTAGTAAGAGAGGTCACAGCCCAATTCGCAGGCCGGTGGGGAGCCCCCTGGGGACTTTAACCCACGGGAGCATGCGCTCAGATCCACTCCACGACATCCAGTCTCTCCCCTTCCGGTTCACTCTCCACACTACAGTTAGAATCATCTTCCTAAAATAGGCACAATCATGTCCCTTCCCAGCTTTTAGAGTCCTGATCTGTCCCCAGTCCTTTAAAGTCCAAACTCGGCAGCCAGGCACTCAAGGCCCTTGAAACCGCCTTTCCAGCCTCATTTCCTATCACTCCTCCCAGCTGACTCTGCTCAGCCACACCCAAACAGGTCATATCCTCCCGCGCCTCTGGCCCTTTGTCCCTGCAGTACGTCCTCCTGGGATGCCCTCCCCCACTTATCCAGGTGAACTCTTCATCCTTCAAGACCCAATATAGATATCCCCTCCTCCAAGAAGCCTCTCCTGACCCCAGTTCCCCAATAAGAATAGGTTTCTCCCCTATGCCCTCATTACGCTTCACTAAAGATGGCTAATACTCACTGGATATTTCTTTCTATGTGCTAGCCTTTTATATAAACATTCCATGTTCATGCTATTATTTAATACTCATGGCTGTCTTATAAAGAAGTATGTTATCATCGTCCCCATTTCATACATAGGAAACTGAGGCTCAGAAAGGTTAAGTGACTGGCCCAATTTCTGAAGAGAATGAGACAGAGCTGGGACTCAAACCCCGGCAGTTGGTTGCCACAGCTCATGTGCTTAAACCCTCATCCACCTCATCCTATAGTAAGGTTTTCTAGCTGTGTATCTGCCTCTCCTACCAGACCAGCAGCACTTGGAGGGCAAGTCCAAGTCTGATTCATCCAGGGTCCCCAGGGTCCAGCATATGGCTCCACATATGGGAGGGGTGTGCAAATGGGTGTAGAGTGAAAAAATAACTTTAGCTAGAACGCTACTAGATGGCCATGAGCTGGGCTCACAGGCAGGTTTCTGAGGGTAAATTAAACCTCTCTGTCCTGAGTGGACCTGGTCATCATCCTGGACCTCATCACGCCCAGCCCAGCATCTGGCTCCTGGTCCAGCTCCAACAGGGTCTGCTGGTGACCTTGGGATTCCTATGCCCTGGCTAACAGCCTCTTTGCAATCAGACAGATCCAGCTTTGAATCTCAGCTGTGCCCTTAGATAATAGCTGTGTAACCACCAAGCAAGTGACTTTACCTCTCTGAGCCTCAGTTTCTTCATCTTCAAAATGGGCTCAGTAGTGCCTGCTTTTCAGTGTTGTGAAGATAATGGATGGCAGTCATTCTAACAATTTCCCAAGTGTCTGCTATGTGCTGTACTCGGCTTTGTCAGTTATTCTTAATTAGTTTGGTCCTTAGACTCAGGCAACCAGTGAGGCAGGAACCCCCACATTTTAAAGGGCCCACACTAGGCCTCCTCTGCTGGGTCCTTCCTCTTGGAGGGAGGAGTCAGAGAGGTCAAGAGGCCATGCCCACCTAGAGCCCATCTCCACACCTTTCTAGACCATCTCTGGGTACCTGACCATAAACTTCCTTGAGCTACTTCCAGAGCCTAAATGGTCATTGCCGGGTCCAAACCCCACTGCCAGGATTGATTCCTAGGCCTGAGGGGTGGCCAAGGGGCAGCTGTTTTCTGGGGATGGGTGAATAGAGCTTGAACATGCTGATGGTGAGGTAGGGAGGAGGTGGGAGAGAAAGGTCTCTGGTGTACTCTTATTAGGGGCCAGCCTGTCCTTACTGACCTTCACAAATGCCCTGAAAGGCAGGAATTATTAGCACCGTGTTAGAGATAAAGAAGCTGAGGCTCAGACTAGAGGAGTGACTCCAAAGCCTGTTCGTTTTGCAGTCTCTGAGGTGGCAGCACTTTATGTCTAAATGCATTACATCTATAATCTCATTTAATCCTCACAACAACCCAATGTTATTAAGTCATATTATCATCCCACTTTAGAGATGAGGAAGCTGAGGCACAGAAGGGTTAAGGGATTTGCTCAAGGTCACATAGCTCATAAGTGGCAGAGCTGGGAGTTGAACCTTGGCAGTCAAGCTCTGAACTCTGCTGTCTATTACCATTTGCATAATTACAACTCACTTCCTTCCTTGGTTACCAACCACTCTGCCTCAGTCATCTGTCTGAGGAATGGGATTCAGCAAAGATGTTCTGAGTGCCCCCTGGTTGTAAAGCCAAGAAGAGGCAGAAAATGTGATCCATGCTAAAGGGAGGGCCCTGTGGAAGGAACTGGGGGAGGGGGATGCGGCTTGACTCTGCTCCTCACCCTCTGTCCTGCGGCGCCAGGAGAGCCGGGCAGGGCCCTGGGGGCTGCTAAGAGTGGGGATCCTCTAGCTGAGCTCACAACTATGCCTTCCTCCCAGCCTGTGGCCTGAGAAGATGGCGCCCTCCCAGGACCAAGGCAGAGGCAGCAGCCCCCCTTCCCCTTCAAGGCTCAGCTGTGGGGCGGCTGCCCAAGCTCCCGCCTCTCCTACTCCCTGGCCAAGTTGCTGCTCTGTGGTCACCTGGACCCAATTTCCTCCTTCCTGCCTCCTCCCATCTCTGGGCTGCCCTGCCAATTTCCAAAGGCTTCTCCCCCAGGAAGCCATCTCTGTCTTCCCCCACCCCCACCCCCAGGTCTCCTACCCCTACTTGGAACACTCCAGCTCCTCTCTCTTCAGCCCCACACGTAGAGAATCACTTGGACCATCAATCCATTTTCCACTTGGTTCCTGGCTGAACATTGGGTCCCCCTGGCCAGACTGTGAGTTCCCTCTGCTAGGGTGGTTATCGCATCCTGTGCTTTCCTCTCCCTCCACGGTGCCTGGCAGGGAGGAGCCCAGAGCCAGAGTTGCCCGTGCTCCGAAACTGAAACCTGGTGTTCAGAAGCCTGGAGACAGCATCACTCTTTGTCGAGCTTTTGAGGTCAACCTATGCCTCATTTTAAGTGAAGAAACCCAGGAGGTCCAGGGAGGAGAAGGGACTTGCCCAAGGTCACCCAGAGGTGAGGGCAGGACTCAAACCCAGGTCTTCTGACTCTCAGGTTCTGGCTCCTGATGCTCTACATGGATCAAGTTTCTAATCCTCCCAGGCCCTCATTTTCAGGCAGGAAACCAAAATAATTCCTGATAATGTATTGATAGAACCTGGGGGGGGGTTAATTCTGCCTCAAATGTCACATCTGAAAAAGCCTCAAAGGGGTTATTATCCAATCTCCCTCCATCCCACCCTCCCCCATTTCCTAAACAAGCAAACTGAGACCCAGGAAGCAGAGGGACCTCCTTAAGGTCACACTGAGCTGGAGCAAGAGCTGTTAGAGTCCATGTCAAGTTCTCTGGAGGAGAATCACCAACTAATTCATTCATTCAATGAAGTTTTTTTTTTATTTTTGGAGAGATTAATAATACCAGGCTCTGAGCTGAGAATCTAAGGATTAAAAAAAGACAGCCAGGACTAGAAGGGACATGAGGGGGCTCCTGGGTACAGAAATATTTTGTGTCATAATGGTCTACATCTTGATCTGGGTATCAGTTACATAGTGTGTTCAGTTTGTGAAAATTCATCAAGCTGTTTTTGATATGTATGGTTTTTCTGAGTGTATATTGCAGTAACAAGTTTTTTAAGAAGACAGTCACAAGTATTGAGTTCAGAGAGCTACAGTATACTAGAGGAGATGAGATGTTAAACAACAAATTACACAAATAATTGTTTAATTACAATTATGGCAAGTGCTACAAGAAAGTAGAGGGTGCTATGGGCTGTGGAGTGGGAGGAACTGACCTAGTCTGGGAGCAGTCAAGGAAGGCTTCTCAAGGGAGGTGAGAGATAAACTGAACTGTAAAGAATGAGTGGGAATGAGTCTCAACCCCTAGCTGACAATGCATAGAAATTAATCCAAGATGAATCATGGACCTAAAGTGAAAGCTGACACTATAAACTTATAGAATACAGATGGGAGAATCTTCATGATCTTGGGATAGGCAAAGATTTCTTAGGCATCGAAAGTACTAAACATGAAACAAAATCACCAGGGGATAGGGAAAAGCACTCAAGACAGAGAAAACAGTATGCGTGAAGGCCCAGAGGAAAGAAGGGGCAAGGTGTGCTGGGAGAACTGAGAAAAGGCCAGAAGAGGCGGCAGCAGGGGGAGAGGGAAGTGAAAGTCCAACAGGAGGCAGGGGCCAGACCTCCCAGGGCTTTAGGGGTTGGATTAGGAGTTGGGACTTTATCCTGAGGGTACCGGGCAGTGAGAGAAGGGCTTTAAGTAGGGGGAGTGGCAGAAGCAGCAAGTGAAGCAACAGCTGGGGATAATGTGACCTTCACTTGGGTTTGCAAAGAGTATTACCTTCTTTGATGTGCCCAGGATTGCAAGGGGTTACCGACACAAAAAGAAGAAAAGGAAACACTCCCCTTTCTCCCTGCTCAGCAACCAGACAAGGCCAGGTGTGGACTCTACTTCCTTGCAGATCAAGATGGAGTTTTACAACCTGAAAAGTCACTTAATCCAGGTGCCAGGATGAGGCGGGGCCTGGCAGGCGGGGACTTGGGTTGTGGGGCCCTGTCCTGGCCAGGCCCCGCCCTGGTCTGAGAGCAGCTGGAGTCTGCCAGCTCCCACTCACGCCCAGCAACTATTATAGCCCCACCTCACCCCTGCTCAGCACCTGGACCTCCTCACCTCCTCTCCCTTCTCTCCCTCCCTTAAAGGACTGAAGAGTCCCGGCCAGGAAGAAAGAGCCCAGAGGTCAGGGGTTTCTTCCACTCATTCCCATTCCCACGTATACCAATGTACCCCGCACCAAAGCTGGAGTGGGACTCAGGCAACCAGGTCCCAGTCCAGCCATCTCACCACTCAGCTCTCCTCACTGCAAGGTGCTCAAGAAAGGCACTGAAAGTAGTGCCTCCACTCAATTCCACTGACACCTTTTGAGTACCTGCTGCATGCCAGGCACGGTGCTAGAGTCAAGAAGGTATTGTTCCTGCTCCCTGGGAACTCTTGGGGTCATGTGGGAAAGAGTGCAACAACCATATTACATGTGCTTTATAGAGGTGCAAAGTGCAAGCGAGTCTGCAAAGTGAGAATGATTTCACTTGGGGAACAGAGTGTGACTATCAAGAAAAATTTCCTCCAAGAGGTGACATTTGAGCTAGGTCATAAAGAATAGTAAGGCTGACAGTAAGAAGTGCTCTTTGTAGCAGAGAAAAGTATAAGAATTATAGGAACTATTGGGAGTGTCAGGGGGTATGTTCAGCACCTTATGTATTCATTTAATCCTTACACCAATTCTATGAAGAGCTATCATAATTATGCCCATTTTCCCATATGTGGCAACTGAGGCTTAGAGAAGGAAACTGATTTATTTACAAACTCGCACAGCTAGTAAATGGCAAAAGCCAGGCTTGAACCCAGGTCTGTCTGCTTCCATGCTCTTAACATCTACTATATAGAGTAGCTTGGGCAAAGGACATGTGGAGGAGTGGGGCAGGAGGTGAGACTGGAGGGGTGGAGGCAGGGGTTGGGTGGTAGAAGCCCTGGTGAGGAGTGTGGGCTTTATCCAGAAAGCAATGCGGAGCCATGGAAGGTTCATTAGTGAGGGAGGGGGTAAAGAGGGATGGCACCCACAATTAGCTTTGTTTTCAGAGGCCCACTTTGAAGGAGGAGAAATTAGAGACAGAGACACCCGTGTAAGACATGCTACAAAAATCCAAGAAAAAGATGGGGGTTGAGGGATGGAGAAGAGGGGGTGCACTGAGAGACATCAAGCAGAACCTGGGGACTGAATGGCTCTGGCAGATGAAGTGGAAGGAGGAATCAAAGATGACGTCCCAAGTTTTTGGCCTATGTGTTTCAGAAAGAAGCCTAATAATTGTTCTTTAGTACTATATTGGGTACCCCCTCCCCCCACCACGGCTTGGCTCCACACATAGCACCTGCAAAACTCACTCCTGGAAGGCACTTTAGTCTTCTCCAAATACTCCTGTGTATTCATCACCTGTTTGTGTCCTCATTTACCCAACATAAATGGAGCACTGACTGTATGCCAGATGTTCTGGGAGCTGGGATAGCCAGGGAACAAGCTGAACCTGCCTTATTAGTGGCATACTGATTCTAGTCTGGGGTCTGGATTTGAATCCTGATTCTGCACCTTCTTTGTGCTAAGTTCTGGCTCAGCCTCCAACTTGCTGTGACTTCAGGTAAGTTACTGAATCTCTCATTGTCTCAGCTACCACATCTGTAAGATGGGAACACTAACAGTACCTACAACAGGGACTAACTGGGTTAATACCTGGAAAGTCTCTGGCACTGGGTCAGCATTTTGTGTCAGCTATTATTATTCTAGAGTTCACATCTGAGTGGGGAGATAGATCCAATTACACAATTAATTATTTAATTACAACAGTGATAAATACGTTGAAGGAGCAGCATGGTCTGAAGGTGAGGGAGGGCTCCCCAGAGCAAGGGATGGTCCCGCTGAGCTGAGCTGAGCTGAGGGAGCTGGGGCTAGCCAGGTGAAGTGGGAGGGAGGGAGGGGCATTGGAGGCAGGAGGGTCTCTGTGTAGGCCAACCCTCAGGCAGAAGAGATGCTGAGAGGTCTGTATTTCTGTACTTTAACTCCTTGGAATCTCAAAATGGTGCTGAGAAGTCAGTCAGGCAGAGACTGCCCCCATTTTCCAGAAAGGGCACTAAGGCCCAGAGAGGAACAGCAATTGAGCTGGTCAGTGACAGAGCCTCCTGGTCAATGTTCTGCCCCCACTGATCCAGGGGGCTGGAGGGGACAGGCTGAGAAGAGGCCTTTGTCCCTGTGCCTGCTGGGGTGGGAGCAGCAGGAGCTGAGGCCGCAGCTGGCCACCAGCAGCTGTGGCGGCCAGAGCTGCATTCCTTCGCCTGCCAGCAGAGCAAGTCCAGGCTCATGGCAGGGGCTGGGAATGTTCTTTTTGTCTTTAAAAAAAAAAGCACTTTAATCAACATTAAGTTGTGACTTCAAACAGACCCAGCTCCCAACTGTCCTCCCTAACCCTGGGTCTCTCCAACTCCCCAGGGTAAGCCCCCAGGCAGCCAAGTTTCTGGGAAAGGGAATGAGGCTGGGACTTGGGAGTCCAGAGACTTTGTGGGGAGTCCTGGCTCAGCCTCTAACTTGCTGTGTGACCTCAGGCAGGTCACCAGCCCTCTCTGAGCCTGAGTGTCCTCTGTAAAACAGGGAAGGGAGGGCTGGATGACATCAGGTGGGGGGGGGAGCCCAGCAGCCGGCTTCAGCCAGCTGCAGCAGCTTTGTTGCCCTTCAAGTTTGAGGCACTGGGGCCTCGGGGGTCCGGAAGCTGGGGACAGGCAGCCTTTCATCTCTGCTGGCCCAGGGTCGCTGCAGGTTGGCAGGCCCCACATCCCGAGATCGCGTTTCAGGCTGAAAGGGGCCTTCCTGTGACCTCAGCCGGCCAGCCCTGCCCCTGCCCCCCTCCCCACCATTCTCACCAGAGGGAAGCAGGCCACATCCCGCCCAAGGTCACTGGCCAGCAAGTGGCTGTCCTTCGGCCTGCCCTTCCCTCCCACCCAAGCCAGCCCCCACCGACCTCCCACTGTAAAGCCTCAGGTCTCCTGGGCCATTAGGAATCTGCCAAGCGAGGCGTGGTCTTTTTCCTCTCTCTTGTTTCTTGGCTTGTTTTCCTGGTTCTCCAACAGCCGCCTCCTGCAAAAGCCTCCGGGTGCGTGTACAGGAACATTTTCCTTTAAAAAAAAAAAAGAGAGAGAAAGAAAGAGAGAGAAATGCAGCCACAGTTTGGGTAAAAAAGCAACCAACTCCTTAATCCTTCCCTGTAACCTCTGGCTCCTCAGCAGGGTTGGCTCCAGCCGCTGGGAAGGAAGGCCCTGCTGGGGTGAGAGGCCTGGGCTTGTTTCCCGCCCGCCCCCTCCTCACCCGCCTCTGTTCTCCTTCAGGGTTTGGTCTGACTTCTAGAGCCAGGAGGAGACAAGCTGCAGAGCTCAGCAGGGCTAAGAAAGCATGGGGGCCGGGGCCTCTGCCCCTCCGCCCACTTGGCCACCTTCTAGGGAGGTTACAGGATCAGGATTTTTCACCCCTAACCCATTGCCTCTCCTCCCATTTTCATTTCTTTATTCTTCTATCTTAGGAATCCTTGGTCTCTCCAATGCAAGGACCTTGCAAGTTCCCTGAGCGCCATCTCCCATCTCACTGCCTCATTGTCCAGCACAGGGTTTGGCTTTCTATTTGTGAAAGCCATCCACTTTCACACTCCAAGCCTCTATCCACTGAGGCCCCTCTGTAGCGGGGGCACTCAATGTCTTGCCACGTCTTGCTCCGTCTGGGGAACTTTTAATTATCTGTTGCAGCCCTAGCACCTGGGTCAGTGCTTGAAACCTAGTTGGCACGTGGTGTCTCTTGAATGAATGAATTCAAAGCATAAAAAGGTCTCTAGCGATATTCAGAGTGATCTTGCAAAAGAGACATTTGGTTATGTCACATCCTGGTTAAAGCCCTTCCATGCCTCCCTAGCACCCTTGGAATCCAGTTTAAAACTCCATCCCTACCTCTTCCCATTTGGTAGCTCTCATTGAAGGATTTCCTTTTTACCCCCAACATGCCATCTTTTCTCTTGCCTCTGGGCCTTTGGACCTTTGTGAAATTCCCCCTGCCTGCCACACCCTCCTCCACCTCTCTGGCTGACTCCCTCTGGCCTGTCACTCTGTCAGATTACCCAGTGAGCAGAGCAAACATGTATTTAGGGCACCAGCAAGGCAGGGGGCACTAAAAACATTACTTTTAAGAAATAATTTGATGTTTGATAATTGTAAAAAAACCATTGAAATAGGGTTCATGGGAAAAATTAGAAGTTTATTGGAGTTCCTTACTCTTATTTTATAGTTAGTTTTGTTTTTTTGTTGAATTTACACATGGGCTGGAGTGGTAGTAGGTAACATAATCTGGCTCTGATCTTAAAATCTCAGCCTAGACTTCAACTACTCCTCCACTGACCCCTCGACAGGTTCAGGTCTTTTTGTTGTTGTTGTTGTTAGTCCCAAAGTCCCTTTGGATTTTTCTTTAATATTGCCATTTTTGCTTTGCTTATTGCTTTCCATCCCCTGACACCAAGTCTGTAAGCTCCTTGAGGTCCCAGTTAATATCTCTCCACCTCTATATCTGTAGCACCCAGTAGGAGACCTGGCATACAACTGACTCCAGCATGTTACTCTCTTGCCTTTATTTCTTCAGTCACCTTTGCAGGGTCTGTCCTGTACATCATAGTCTATATATTCACTTTATAACTCCATCTGAGGAATGCCTACTCACCCTTCAAGACCCCATTCAAATGACCCCTCTTCTGTAAGCCTGCCCTAATCCTCCAGTTAAGTTCTATGCTTCTCTGAGCTCACAGTTTCTGCTGCAATTGGTATTTCCTTCTTTTACTGTTATTTTTATGTATTTATCTTCCCCTTCACCAGCTTGTGAGCCACTCGAGGGCAGAGACTGGGTGGATTGATCCCTGGATCCCCAGTGCCCAGCCATAAGCCTGGCCAGAGCCATCAACAATAGATGCTCCTTAAATGAATAGACTGGAAGATGTCACAGAGGAGGGAAAATTCTAGCAGGATTTTGAAGGTGGGAGGAAAGAAAATAACATGTACTTACTGAGGGCATAGAGTTAGTACAGAGAAAAGCAAATAAGCGTGCCAACTGTCACTGAGAGCACCATAGTGTTAGAAATAAGCCATGCCTCTTACTGGCTGTGTGGCCTTGGGCAAGTTATAGACTCTCTCTGTGCCTCAGTGTTCTCATCTGTAAAATGGAGCTAGTAATCGTAGCCAGGAAGTGAACAGGCTAATATACACAAGGTACTGAGAGCTGTGCCAGGCACACCCAGGCACTGTGGTGTTTGCTGTCATTGTTATTGTCTCCATTGCTGAGACCTTTGGTTGTGCCAGGCACTTTCACCTGGGATCTCACTTAGTCCTCACGGCAGCCTGAGAAACAGGGATCCTTGTGTCCTTTTACAAAGAAATGAGGTGTAAGCAGGCCAAACATCTTGCTAAGGCCACTCTCTGGGTAAGTGGCAGGAATGGGATTTGAACTCAAGTCTTTCTGGCCTGCCACCCACCCGTGTTCCTTGACTGTGTGACACCTGCCGGCAGGAGGAGGGGGAGGAAGAGAAGATGGCACAGTGGGAAGGCAGGGAGGCTTCACTGAGCTGGGGCCTCCGGAGCAGAGCGGCAGGCGTTTTTCTAGAGCTTTCATTTCCGTCTGCCTCTTCAGAGCAGGTGAAAAACCCCACAGAGGGCCCTTCACGGAGTCCTCCCCCTTTTCCTCCCCCTCCCAGCGCTTGCCTCATCCCCCACGCTGGGAGGGGGGAGGTCAGGCCTGCAGCGTGGGGGATGCAGGAAAGGGGAGTGAGGAGGTGGGGGAGCATCATTCCAGATCCTTTCCCTCCAGCACTCTACTCCCCCTCTTCCCCATCAAAGTCGCTCTGGGAGGAGAGAGCATTCCAGGTGGAAGGAATGGCAAATGCAAAGGCTGTGGATTCAGGATGTGGAGGCGGGGAAAGCCTGCAGCTTGGCTGGAACCGAGGTTGGGGGGGCCCCCTGGGATTGCTCAGTGGAGAAGAACTTGTTTGACGAGAGGGAGAGGGGGAGAGAGAGATATGCAGTGGACCCAGCAAGAGCTGAGGATGCCAGAGAAAGAGCAGTGGCTGGAGACCATTCTGGCTCTGAGCACAGTGCTGTCCACCCACTGGCCCTCAGACAGAGGTGCTGTGGAGGGGGTCAGGGTGATTCTCCTTGGTCCCTCTGCTTTAAATCCCTAGATTCCCTTTGCAGACTGTGTTTTGCCAGCTCTGTAGCAGGCATTGGCTCACTTTTTTTTTACACATTCTTTCATTGTGCTTTCTCTCCGGCTCTACAAGATCAGTATTATTCACTCCATTTTATAGATGAGAAAACTGAGGCTCAGACTTGACCAAGGTCACACAGCCATAAAAGCAGGTCTAGGACTCGAATTCAGGACTGTTTCCAGAGATGACAATTTGCCTGCTGAATGCTATGCTGGCTTCGGCTGCTTTCCTGGAGTGCTTGCTGTCCCCATAGCAACAAGGAGAGGAAGCCTTGTGCTGATGGCACTTTATAGTTCATACAGGACTTGTTTTCTCTGCTCCTCACAACAGCCCCATGGCAAAGCTACTGTCATCCCTATTTCAGAGGTAATGAAACAGGCTCAGAGACAGGGTGTGACTTGGCTAAGACAGAACCATTAAGTGGTAAAGTTGGGACTCGGACCCAGTTCTAGTGACTCTAAATGTCTTTTTGCTTTCCCTTGCAGAGGAAGAAGTTCTGTTCCCTGATTTTATCAGCCTCAGAGAACAGGCAGGGGTTATTTTTTAGAACTGGTGAGAAAGGAATGTGGCTTGGCCTTCGAAATCTGGGACTTATGGGCAGTGAATTATTTCATTGCTCCAGGTGATAACTCTGTTGGGTAGAAGAGGGAGGGCTTGCCTCTCAGGAGCAGCAAGCCCTCTCAAGTTCTGAGATTGGGTTTAAATTCCAGTCGTGCTGCTTTCTGACTGGCTGGCCTTGGGCAAGTCACTTAACCTCTCTGTGCTTCCTTTATCTCATTTGTAAAATAATGACAATAATAGGACCTGATTTATAGGACTGCTATGAGGATTTATGAATTAATGCATGTAAAGCATGGCTGGCACATAATAAATGCTCACTGTGAGTGCTTTTTAATATTACTATTAAGATGCCCAGTACAACTCCCTCTGAAAGCAACTTGTCTATCTCTATTGCCTAAAGGAGAAACTAAGGCTCCTGTTGCCAGACAACTTTCAAGCAAAACCCCAGAATCTCATCTAGTACAGATAGTAACTGCTAGTATCAATAATAATAATAATCATCAGTTAACATTCAACAACGGCTACTATGTGCCAATCACTGTGCTGCTTCGCCTCTACTATCTCATTTAATCTTCACAGCTCTGAGAAATAGAAGCAATTATGATCCCCATTCTACATATAAGGAAACTGAGGCTCAGAGAGGTGAAGTCACCTGCCCAAGGTCATATTGCTAGGAAGTGGTACAGTTGTGATTGGAAACCAGGCTTGCCCGGCTCGGAAGTCTTCTACAATTAAGGCCAGAGAACAATTGGCCCAGTGCACAGACGCTTGCATCAGCTCTCTCCCAAAGGCATCTGCTGGATCTGCTGCCTCAGGCTCACTGCCCTCCACGCAGCGATGACCAAGCATCATTTATGGAGTGGCTTCTATGTGCCAGAACGTTTTGTACAAATTGCTACATTAAATCCTCGCCCCTCACCTTATGCCCTTCTATCAGCATCCCCATTTCTCAGAAGAGTGGCTGAGGCACAGAGAGGTGTGGTGACTGCTCAAGGTCACACAGTCCAAAGTGAGATGGCAGAGCCAAGATTCAAACCCAGGTAGGTAGGCCTCAAAACTTGCATTCTTTCAGGGACTATCAGAAAAGAACAGAGACTCTTGGAGAACAGACCCACTTTCAAAGCCAAGTTCTTTCTCCTGTACCACCTTATTTGTTTGGTCCTGAGCATGAGCTCCATGCTCCCCACCTCCCCAATGCCACTATACCGTTGGCCTAGACCTTCTACACCCTCTCCCTTGGCCTGCAACACTTCTCCCAACCACCAGCTGCTTAGTTAACTCCCATTCATCAACTACCTCTTCAGGAAACCTCCTCTGACCCACCCTATCCCCTGACATTCACTCTCAAACACATTGTACTTTGCCCTCTTGTTCCTATCACAGTTTCTAACTGTATTTTGATCAACAACTTGCTTCCTCACCAAACTGTAAGCTCCATGAGGGTCTGAGTTTGTTTCGCTCATCATTGTAGCTGCACCACTGGCAGGCTGCCCTACACCTGCTCCAGTGTAGGGTAATTTTTTATTGAGTGGATGAAACCATGAATGAATAAATAGCTATCAGGCACTTGACACACATGACTCATTAATTTCACAGCTAACTCATTGAATCCTCACAACTGCTCTATTGTCCCCATTTTAGAGAGGCTGTAGGTGAGGCTGAGAGCTAGAAAGTGATGAAGCCTGGATTCATTCATAGGTCAGTTTGTCCCCAAAGTCATTGACCTCTGCACAACACCTCCCTGCACCCAACGGCCACAGTCAGGATTTAAATAGTCATTGGTTGTCAGACCACGCGTCCCAATTTGAGCCTGGAGGTCACTGACTCAGCGGGCACTGGGGCCTTGCCGGCACCACCCACTTGGTGGTTTTCTGCCCTTCTAAAGTCTTAGGCGATTCCCCCTCCCACTCCCTTTTTGGCTTCCTTCCTTTCCAGAGAGGGAAAAGGACTAGAAATTACAGCCAAAGCAGCTCTTCTGAGAAAAACAATCCTGCAGTGAAAAGAGCCCTGTTCTTAAGAGCAGAGACCTGGACTTAAGTCCTGACTTGGAAACTGCCCCTCTCTCTGAGCTTCTGTGTCTTCATTTGGGATTCTGTCTGAGTTGCTGACCCACCTGTCATCCTTCCTGATTCCTAGGACTCCAGAAACAGCTCGGGTGCACTCTTAGGATCACTTTTCCCCAGGAACCTTGGTGATTAACAATAGCTGGGCGCGGGGAGGGGGCCGGGGCGGGGCTGTGTCTAAGTCAATGGTGACCATTGAGATGGGGGACTAACCTGGCACCCTCAAGACCCTCCCTGCAGCGCTAATGGGTCAGAGGAGAGAAGTCTTTCTCAGGGGACACCCGGCCCAGAAGGGAGAAATACAGGAATGGAAGTCAATTCCCTGGGTAAGTCATGGAATTTTCAGTTTTCTCTTCTGCAAAATAAGGACAATACCTGCCTTGCAGAGTTGCTCTAGAGAACGAATTGTGGTATCTTTGCTAACCTGTGAATTTGTCACATTGATATCCAGACTGCAACTTTTATAATCGACAAGACACACGTATACCCACTCATGCATGAATCCTTAACAAACGCTCCAGGACACCGGACTGACATGATTGTTCCTATTTCGCAGAAGGACAAACTGAGACCCAGGTAAGTTTAGGGAGTTGTCTGAAGTTGCAGAGTGAGGTGGTGGCTGAACCACTGTCCAACTCACCTGACCTTACTTTCAGAACCAGCTCCCACTCCCAGGATCCCGGGCCCCGCCCCGACGGATCCCTTAGCGGCGGACAGGAACCTGTGACTCACTCTCCCGACCCTTCTTTCTGCCCAGCCTGAGACCCGGACGGAAGGGACAAAACTATCTGCAGCTTGAGGGGTGTCCACAGAAAGTTCATGGGCTTAGCCCCTTCTTTCTACCAAACATACTGGTTCTTTGAACTCTAAAAAAAAGGATTTGTCTCTTAATAAACTTTGTACGAGTTTTTACACGTTCCTAGATGGGGTTTTCCTACTTTGAATTTAGGAGTTGGTTTAGTTTAAAATCCACCCCCACTTCACTTAGTTTGCCCCCTTGCTGTTTACTCCGATTGCGGAAGTAGCTCGGGTGGAGCTCTCCGCACAGTACCATTGAGTACGTCGTTTGCGTAGCTATTTAACTGACATTCCATTCAGGCCAATGGAATGCCTGGAAGCCTCAGGCGGGTGGGGCAGAGAGCCAATCAGGGCGGCTGGCGGGGTGTGGCTGAGTCCCAGGGCGGGGAATCGCGTAATGGCGGACGCGGGCCGGGTGAGCGCGGCTGGGGGCGTAGCGCGCTGAGGGGGGTCCGGCTGTGTGGCAGTCCTTGAGGTGGCCCTTGAGTACAGACCCCGTGCGGAGGAGGGCGGCTGGCCAGCCTTTCCTTCGCTTGGGGCCACCGCGCGAGACCAGGTGAGCAACAAGTCCCCGCGGATGGGCCCCGTCGTCAGGCGCCTGGCCGGGCCGGGCCGGGCCGCGCCGTGCCTCCCCTCCCGAGTCGCGCAGGGTCCCGGGGGAGTGGGGGCCGCGCCTCCTGCCGCTGCCCCGCAGAAGTCGGGTGAGCGGTCAGCGTGGGGTGGCGCCTTACAATACACTCCCCTCCCCAGGGAGGAGGTGGCCCGGAGATCCCCCCGGAGACTTGGAAGGCCCCGCTAGTCTGTAAAGCTGCGAAAGTGCCCTGACTTGACATGGCTGTGCCACCAACTCGCTGTGTGACCTTGGGCAAGTCACTTCCCTCTCTGGGCCCCATTTCCCCCATTTGTAAAATGAAGGCTTTGCAGGCAGACGTACTTGAGATGGAGCTCAGAGGTTGTCTGAGATCTTGGGCAAGTTCTTCCCCATAAAGGCACTAAGGTACTCTTTGAGATTCCTGGCCTAAGTTGCAGACTGGACTGGAGGAGAGGACATGTGTGTGTGTGTGTGTGTGTGTGTACGTGTACTTACGTGTGTGTACAGGATGGCCTGCAGAGTAAGGAGAGTTGGCTAAAGGGGCCCATCCAGGAAGGCTCTGGATGGACCCCAGACTATGATGGGGTGGTGTCTGGTTGTCTTGGTTCTCCAGGATCCTAGAGCCTCTGGGATGGGGGAGTTTTATACAGGTCTCCATAGAATCAGAGAAGAAGGAATCTTTGGAGACCTGGGGGCTGTGATTGAAATTTAGGCCCAGAAGAATTCAGGAGGGTTAGGAGGAGGAGGAAGAATGTTTATGGCTCTCTTACTATGTGTCAAACCTGATTTAGGCACATGTTCTTGGTGAAGTTTTACGGCTGCCCTTGAGAAGGTACACATAAGGAAACTTAAGTTTCATAGGAGTTAAGTAACTTGCCCCAGGTCACACAGTAAGGTCACACAGAGCTTACCAACACTGAAGTGTTTTCTTTGAGAATCACTGGGCAAAGGGGAATTTGCTGTCCACTTAAAGGAAGTTTGCTTTGTCACAGATGGGGGGAGGGGTCTGGTTCCAGGCACTTGAAATGACTTCTGGCATGGAGACAGGCTAGGTCTTGATCCCTGGTTGGTTAATTATAAGTACATACCCTTTGTTCAGTCTGTGAGTTGGAAAGGACCATTTCTAAATTGCAAAGTTCACTTTAAAGTGTGTCAGAACCTCAGAGAACTCAATTTGAAACCCTGACTGCATGCGTGACCTGTATAAGAAAGTTCATCAACTATTGGTGCATAGACTAGACTCTTGTTTCAGAGTGGTGCCAGCCCAGTAACTTTTTCTCCTCACTAAGAAGGCTGTTTCCTTGAGATAGGAAAAATTTCCCATTTGTTAGTGCAAATTTCTTTAGATTCCTGGGCTGAAAGTTTCAATAGCCGACCTCTTGATTAGGTGAAATGTTCCTTTCTTTGTGTTCCCTATTATTTGACTGATAGATGAGTGAAATGGTGGACCTAGAGTGGGTACTGTAAATTGCAGCCCTTAATTTTTCCAAGCCTCAGAGCTTTTGGTTAATCAAAATGGTGGGACTGGCAGTATGTATTGTTCTCATATGTCAATGGTAGGGAAGAAAATTGGAAGAGGAAGTTGCTGAGAAAGAGGGCGTTTCTTAGCAGTAGAGCCAATATGTATTTCTTTGTTTGAAATTCTAAAACCAGAAAAGCAGCAACTGGAGGAGGAAGGAAGGAAAGAACTGTGAAACTCTTCTTCCTGTTGAAATATCTTTAAGGACTGTCCCTGTTACTGCCCCTCTGTCCAAGGCTCTGCTTTCTCAGAAAAATTTAATTGTAATTTGTTCAGCGTTCAGAAGTTATATTCTAGAATGAAAGAATTTTAAACCTTAAACTCTCTGAGATAAATTTTTTTTAAATTAGAACATTTTACTGAGTACATTATTTATGAGTGGATGATTCTTTTTCTCAACATAATTACCAATTGCAGTCTTTGGGTTTTTTTTTTTTTTTAAAAAAACTATGGTTTAAATTAGTGGATTTTAGCCTAAGAGGAATTGATCTGTATATTGGATGATGCAAATGTCACCATCACTTGAAAAGCACATAATGGTGTGTTTGGCTTTTGACATTTGTTGAGTCTTCTTTATTTTACAGGATTATGTATGTGTGAATATTTAAGACGTTGAATTTATTGCATGTGAAGATCTACATTCACTCTCAGTATTAGTTATATTTTCTGGATAAGATTTAGTCTTTGGTATACCAGTCTACAGTACCTTGGGGCCAAAAAAAAGGGGACCAAATGTGCTTCTGAATTTAGAATTTTTTGGATTTTAGAAAAGGAATATGGTACATGTACTATGTATTATGTAACATCCCAGAGAGGTGGGGGCAGCACCTTGTAATCAGACATATTACTATTTCCACAGTAAAATGTCAGAATGTTCATACCAACTGGGATAAATAAATACTATAAATAGTCTTATGTCATTTCATGTTAGAATTTGCTGCCAAATGAATAATGAAAAGCTTGTTTTTACAGCCTTTTGGATTTTGGAATTGAAGTTAAGGGACTGTAGATGTCTATGGATAAAACTTAGAACAATTACAAGGACAAATACTGTAAACCAAGCTAATTTTAAAGTCATAAGTCCTAAAATCAGTATTACATAGAAGAAACTTTTTTTCTCTCTTTCATGTGACAGTGTTATTCTAATAAATATGTGTCAATATGCATTTTTTCTTAAGTACCAAATTTTACCTTTTAATACCATCTTTGGTCCGTTTAGATGTTTGAATGACACCTTACCCCTCTTTTTTAAAAAAAAGTAATTTATAGGGTCTTGTGCTCATCAGTTTTTGTATAGCAGTTAAGAGAATTGTACCTTTTCCTATAAGATTTAGAGAAAGACTAATCAGTTGAAGATCTGTAGATTCATGTTTGCAGAATTTAAAGCTGATGTGCTTTAGGATGGTCTTCACTGTTAGATGGGATTTATGTCAACATTTTAAAATTTTTTATTAAGTGTTCACAATTTGTACATCTCCATACGGAGTTATCTAAAATATATTTAATTTAGAATATTTTAAAATTCAAATGTATGCTATGTGAAAAACTTGAGCCTACCAGCTTTATGAATTTGGGTGATTTCCTTAAATGACCAAGGACTTCTAGGAGCAAATTTATAAAAATTCAGTCTAGCTGTACACCTGAAACTAACACAACATTGTAAATCAACTACACTTCAATAAAAAAAAATTTTTTTAATGAAAAAAAGTAAACAAGTAAAAAAAAATTCAGTCCACTCTAATTTTCTTGCACACTTGAACTGTAGAGTGAGGTGGACTGGTATTGCTGGAGGTCAAAAAACTGTTTCTTCTCTTTAAAAAAAGGCCCATGACAGCATGACTGAGAGATTCTGGCCTTCAGGACAAACAGCCACCTCAATTCATCCTCCTACTTGGAGTGCCTCCATAGTTCCTGAAAATGGTGCTTTCACTGTCTGAGAGATAGAAGGGGTGTGGGACTGTGTATCAGGAGTTGCAGGTGCAGTTGATGTATGCTTGGACTAGGGAATAGGAGCAATTCTTATCCAAGCTACCTCAGTTTCTTCTGTTTCATAAGCACTGATAATATTACAAAAGGATTACAAATCAATGAACAAACATACTATTCCAAATTACTCTGTTGTGGCTGTGGATAACCTTTTTAAAACAGGAACTGTGTCTCACACTTCTTTTGTATTCTGTAAAGCCTAAAGGCCAGGGCCTCGAACATCCTGCATCAAAATTTACCATTAGAAAATAAATTATATCTAAAAAAAAATGTATCTATCTACCTATCTGTCTGTCTATCTATCTATCTATATATATCTGGGAGCTGTGATGTCAGTAAACAACCAGTTGAGAACTATTGGTGTAAGCATGTTGTAGGTGTTGAATAAATATATGTCGATTAATTTGCTATATTGAACCTTGTGTGAATTGGGTAGGGTGAAAAGGACCCAGATTTTTTTTATAAAGTAAAACAGCTTTCCAAGATACCAATACACATTAAACAGTTGGCAGATCTGGACCCATAGTCAGCTCATTGCCAGTTACTCTGCCAGCATCACCACCTAGATTTTGTAATCTAGGCAAGATTAGATACAGTCTTGTAAAAAGGCAACTGAAAGTTTTGTTTAATCCTTGGGTGGTGCTAAGATAGACTGGAGTGACAGTTGGTAAATTGGGAATAGGTAGAAATGAAAGAATTGTTGGGGATTTGAGTCGGGGAAGTGGACTGCTGAGTACCAGTGATGCCAAGGGAAGAAGTGGAAAGTTGTAATTTAAATGCATCTCCAACACGTAACACGATGTATGGGACATAATTGGTGTTGCCTCGTTTTTGTTGACTGAAGAAACGAATGGCTCTTCGTTTAGAAAGAGGTATATAACCTGTGAAATAAGATGTTTCCTCCTATCCTTCAGAACTGAGCTAAGATGTCATCTATTTCCATGAATCATTCCTAGGAAAAGTTGAATGACTCTCTTGTGTGTGTTTTCCTTTATTAAAACATTTATCAGATAGCAGACAAATTATAAAACTCTTTCCCCTACCTGATGGTGAGCTCCATAAGGCCTGGACTATATTGTTCATTTTTGTATGACTGGTGCTCAGCACACAATAAAGGCTTAATAAATGCTAGTGATGTTTAAACTAGGCCTCTGTCTTCTACTTTATTCTTGTAGGCTTCTGCTTCTTCCAGTTCATGGTCTTTCCTTTTCAGTTCAGATCAGCAGACATTTATTGAGAGGTAGGTCTGTCTTGGACCTTGGAGCAGGGTTTTTAATCCTTGGCACTATTGACATTTGGGGCTGGATAATATTCTGTATTGTGATAAGCTGTCCTGTGCATTGAAGGATGTTTAGCAGCATCCCTGGTCTTTTCCAACTACCTAGTATACTGCAACCTCCCCGCCCCAGCTGTGACAACCAAAAATGTCTCCAGATGTTGTCAAGTGTCCCTAGGGGAG